CATAAACCATAACCATAATCCATAACCATAAACAACTGCAACTAACTAATTGAAACATGTAGTTTAATTAGCATTACTATAAAATGAGTATACTAAACTAATTCATCTAAAATCATAACTAACTAACATCAATCAACCATAATTAATTAAAATCTCTCTACTATAACAGACCCACCAGAAACAAGAATTCGTTAAATACAAACATATAACTACCAAAACATCAACAATATAAACAATATCAAATTAAAACGTAATTAGAATTTTAAGATGAAATGGGGGAGGGATTTGGCAGAAATGGGAAGGAAACGACAGAAATGAGGGAGGGATTTAGCAAAACTGGAAACGAAACGACAGAAATGGGGGAGTTTTTTGTTTTTTAACATAGCATGCATTCACCGCGGGGAATGCTAGGTAGTTGTACCTAAAACCTACCTACCAGGAGCTAGAAAACGTGTCAAACGTTCACCTCTTTAATCGAAAGTCGTGATGTGTTCACCGTTATCCTTAACAACGCTGATGCATTCACCGTTTTCCTTTAAAGCGGTCATGTATTCACCGTTGTCATTAACAACGGTGATACATTCACAGTTTTCCTATAAAGCGTTGATGCTTTCCCGTTGTCCTCTCTTGCGGTGATTATTTCACCGTTTTTGACAATGATGGTGAATATCTTCACCGTCTTTAACAACGATGGTGAAGATGAAGCATGTTTACTTCGTAATTTTTTTTATAAAGAATGTATTTTTGGAATTTCCCCCCTTATTTTTACTTGCTTATTTCATTCATTGTTCTCTTGCTTTAGTAAGATAAGAATTCGACCAAGGCGCATCAATCCATTGTTTTGTACTTTTATTTGCATTGTCATCTCAAACATAGGTTGTAAGTATTGAGTAGTTATTATCAAAAGGCCCCGTGGAATATGAGCCTAGGAACTCATAGGATTTTATTAGATGCCCTAGTCAAAACCCAACTATAACTAGGAAACCTCAACCCATCTATTTCTATTGAGTCATTGTTTGAGTATTAGATGATTAGATGTGAGTAACTATTATTAGAAAGCCTCGTGAAATACGACCGTAGAAATCTCTATGATTTATAATTAACTTCGATTGCATTGATAGACTACTACACGCATTGATGCTATCTCCGACGACATCGATATGATGGAGGAAGAAGACAGCGAAGGAACGAGGAGGTCATATATTATTGTTTTTTAATATTATTTAATATTATTAATGGCATATGTGGATGCCACATAGGCGCTACATGCTCAACATCAAACATAATTTGACTTATATTAGTCAATTATTATATAAATAACAATTATTTTAGTGGAATTATCCTTTTTCTTAAAGTGAAAACCAATACATCTAATTTCATATAGCCCTTCTCTAATGAACTTAGCTATTCAAAACTCAACAATCCACTAGGGAAAAGATCATTCGGTTCAGGAAATGCTCGACTCGTTATAAATGAGTCAAGTTTAAGCTAAGCTATGTTCAGCACACGAGGATCGTAAGCCAACTCGAGTTGGTTTCTTGTTGAGCTCAACGTTGTAAACTGGCTCATTTTGAGACCATGAGATGTCTCAACAATATGACTAGCGAGCCAACTAGGCTACCAGCTTATGAGAAAACCGATCTATATCTTATGAGTTGGCTTGTTGATAATTCATATGTTTGTTAAATTGTATATCTCAACCCATATAATGTTTAAGACTTTGAATATGTGAGGAAATATGCCTCATTTATAGTTTACAAGACAAATTATATATCATTGATTGCTTAGATACTAATTACTATGAAATGATATGAATTTGAATTATAAACGGAATAATATGATACCAACATAACATATAAATATGAGATCAGTTGATCAGAGTTTAATGTAAGTGCTCAAATATTCAAAATAAATGAGTTAAATTGAGCCAAACTCATTATCCAATGACGAATTAAAATTTTAATAAATGAACGGGCTCAAACTTTGGCTTGTTGATAAATAGCCCTACCAGGCAACCATTCACTGTCCATGAAGGCAGCTGGGCCTCTTTTATCAGTTCAACTAAATTGTCAAATGAATGACTATCGATATTGTGAGCGCCCGATGAAACCATTGGGTTATAGCTGGGCTCGAGCCACTTTGGGCCCGTTATTCCATCAAAGTAAGGTCAATACACCAACAATTCAGAATACAGCAAGCCACTCTAAGCGTCTTAGTCTCCCTCTACTTCAGCCTAATGTGTTACACATTTTAAATGTCTATTTTCGTGTCAACACTATTTGAAAATACTTTATTTAAGTTGATGTGACAACCAAAGATAAGATAGTCTAACGGTAAAGCTGTCGCGACACTGAAGATTTGAGAGTTGCAGATCGCTGGTTCAAATCCAGCCAGGGTCGTTGATGTTCTCAGAGGTACAAGGCTGCTTCGGGGCGGGGCCCGTTGATGTTGAATTTGATTGCAGATTGCCCGTTCACAATGAAAGTTAACGGAAATAAAATTTTAGGACATAATCCCGAGGAACATAATTGACACAATCCATAAACCATGGGACTTCTATTGGTATTAGGCCTTGTTTAAGCCATAAGTTCTTGGGATCAGGTATTTATATTATTTGTTCACACAATACATTTTGTGTATTTACAGAAACAAAATACTTAAAGTTTGCTGTATGAATAGCACATATTGAGTGTTTACAGAATGAAACAATATCTCAAAATGTAAGCTTACAATTTATAAGTATTGATCTTTGCAGTACTCAACACAATAAATCAAAAGGGGTTTCTTCTTTAAAATTTTGAAGAATAAAGCTATATCCCCTTAAATTCACAACAACAACAACAAAATCCTAACAAAACAATATAGAGATTCCAGCCCGGAGCACCTTTGCTTTCTGTTTTCCTGCGCTCTGCGCAGTTCATGGGAGGCCAAATTGGTAAATGGCTCTGTTTCCCGTTCGATTGAGATGGGCCGCCGGTGGTAGACAATATCTGGGCCATACCTCAAAGCCCAATCCTGTCGCTGCTGGCTCCATCATCGGGCCAGATTGGGTAGAAAATCTCCATCCTTCATCGCCTGCCCAAACAATGACAGAATCCAATCATCAAGCTGGACCTTCTGCTGCACAGCAACCAGAAGAAGAAGAAGAAGAATGAAGTTGCAGAGGAGATTCGAAATGTATCCAGCGCAGAAAACGCCTCTGAAGAAGTTGTAATAGGAACGCAGTCGTTTTACTTATTTGTATTTACCGCTCTTAGTTGTTAACAGTAATTAGCGGGAACCAGTTAGGTTGAGCCACGTGGCAAGCTCAGTTTAAACTAAAGAGCTAATTACTGTATAACGGTATAAATGGGAACAGCAGCTGGAAACCTTTCTCTTTGAGGGTTTCCGATCAATCTCTGTGCATTTCTAAGGTTTTCTACATGGTATCAGAGCCCATGCTCTAACGACGCAGCTCCGTTCCGATGTCTGGACAGCAGATTCCTCCGCGTACTCCTCCCAGCTCTGCTGGTGGTTCTGGTGTCCAATTTGGTAACTTCAATACGTCGAATGAGCAGGGTAATGCCAGAGGTGAGATCCCCTTTGGACATCCATACTACCTAAACCCTAATGAAAATCTCTCTCAGTCCATCACTTCTGTTGTTTTCGATGGAACTAATTATCCTGTATGGAGTCGTTCTATGCGATTGGCTTTGAAGACCAAGCATAAATTGGGTTTTGTTGATGGATCTATTTTGGCTCCAGCCCCCTTAGATCCGAGTTTCCACCTCTGGGATGGTTGTAATACTTTGGTCTTATGCTGGATTATGAACTCCCTACAGAAAGATATAGCTCGCAGTATGATGAGTCACGAGAATGCTCGTGTTCTGTGGGTTGAGTTGCAGGAAAGGTTTGCCAAACCTAATGCTCTTCGCATTATCAATCTTGAAGACGATATTCAGGCTTGTAAGCAAGGTGATAGCACCATTCTCCAGTACTACACTAGGATTCATGGTCTGTGGGAAGAATATCAGCAATTCTCTCCCATTGTTCCCTGTGCTTGTGCTCCTGGGAGTACTATTGTTTGTGCTGCTGTTGCTGCTTTTCGTACTAAGCAGGAAACTGATTACCTCATTCGCTTTCTGCGGGGCGTTAACAAAGAGTTTGAGGTTGTTAAAACCCAATTGCTGCTTATGAAGCCTTTACCCACTGTTTCTGTGGCTTTGAATGACTTGTTACAACACGAACAGAAACTCAAAGGTGATTCTGTCAGTTCAAAGGGCTCTCAATCTGTTGCTCTTGCTGCTGGTCGAGACAGACCTCGTCCTCGATCTGACAAGCCTGAAAATGATTCTGATCGAGTGACATGTCGTTATTGCAAGCGCTTTGGCCATGATATTAAGGATTGCTGGAAGTTGAAACGCAAAGAGAAGGATAGAAAAGCTGGACTAGTAGCATCTGTTGCTCATGATGGGTCATCTCCTGATACTCACAGCCAGTCTGATGGTAGTTCCAGCCCTTCCCAGTCTCTCACTGGTCTCTCCCTTGATGACATTACCAAACTCAAGTCTCTTCTGCATTTTGGTGTGGCTGCTGGCCCTAGCTCCCCTGGGTCACCCAGTATCAATCACAAGGCTTTCTCTGTCTCTCAGTATCTGCCTAAGCACCCCAATCATGCTGGTTAGTACATCCTTTCTTCTCATCTCGAGATGGGTACTACTTGCTTGAATTCTGTTTGGATTTTGGACACTGGGGCCTCAGACCACATTGCCTGTTCTTTGAATTCTTTCCTTGACCACAAACCTGTCCAAAATACCCATGTCTTCTTACCTAACAGTTCTAAAGTTCATGTTAGTCACATAGGTACCATCAAATTGCCTAATGGGATATTCTTATACAATGTCCTATTGGTTCCCAGTTTTACTTTCAACCTCATCTCTGTTAGTAAACTTACCCATGATTTACCAGTCACCTTACATTTTCATTCCAATATCTGTGAAATTCAGGACCTTCATACAAAGATGAGGATTGGTTTGGCCAACCAACATAGAGGTCTCTATCATCTAGCCACCACAAACTCTCCTTCCTTTGCAGAACCATCTCCTTCACATCAAGCTGCCACCATTTACAACTTCAATCCACATCAAGTCAATCTTTGGCACTGGCATTTAGGTCACCCTAGTAGAGATAGATACTTGCTTGTCAAGAATAACAACTCCATTGTAACCAGTGATCTTGTTCTTCACTGTGATATCTGTCATCTGTCTAAACAAAAACGCCTTTCTTTTCCTCTTAGTGATCATTCTGCCAGTGAACCCTTTGCTCTAATTCATGTGGATATTTGGGGCCCCTTGTCTGTGAAATCTTATGATGGTTTTAGTTACTTTTTGACAATTGTGGATGACTATACACGTGCTGTCTGGGTGTATCTTATGCATTCTAAGGCTGAAACTAGAGAACTGTTGCAAGGCTTCTGCCAGCTTGTGAATACTCAGTTTGCAAAACAGGTTAAAACAATAAGGAGTGGTCAGGGTAAAGAGTTCCATATGACTGAGTTTTACAGAATTCATGGCATTGAGCATCAGACTTCATGTGTTGAAACTCCCCAACAAAATGGCAGGGTTGAGAGGAAGCATCAGCACATTCTTAATGTGGCTAGAGCTCTTCGTTTTCAGTCAGGCATTCCTTTGAAATTCTGGAGTGACTGCATACTCCATTCAGTTTATCTAATCAATCGAATGCCCACTCCTCTACTTCAAAACAAGTCCCCCTTTGAAATGCTCTTTAACAGACCTCCCTTACTACAAAACTTGCGTGTGTTTGGCTGCCTTTCCTATGCTACTACCCTTCCCCAAGGCAGAACCAAATTTCAGCCTCGTGCTCGCCAATCAATCTTCCTTGGCTTTCCTTCTGGTGTCAAAGGCTATAAGCTATTTGACTTACATGATCATCATGTTTTCATCTCTCGAAATGTCACCTTTTATGAGGACATTTTACCTTTTAAGACAATTCCAGATTCTCCTCCTCCTCTTTCTACAATTCCTCATTCTTCCCCTCTTTTAGCACCTCATTCCATACCTACTCCAATACCTAACACTTCAGACAATCTGACCTCCAGGGGGGCACATCCAGTACCTGCTGCTGATGATGTCCAGATTGCACATGACACCAATTCATGTCCTGATGATCAGGATAATGTAGATGTGCATTTATCAGGTTTTAATGATGGAGAGAATGTTGAAGAACAACTAGAACTGGAAGTTCAGGCAGAATATGAAGGAAGACCAATCAGGGTCAATAGGGGCAAGTTACCTGCAAAACTGGATGATTACTATGTTGGATCAGTGAGCAGATATCCCATGAGTGACTACTTGGGATATGATCAACTTGCACCTAAGGATAAACACTATGCACTCAGTCTTATTGCTGAAGTTGAACCTTCTTCCTACCAGGAAGCTGCTAAGTCAGAAGTATGGAACAAGGCCATGAATGAAGAAAGAGAAGCCCTGGAACTGAATCAGACTTGGGAAGTGGTTCCTCTACCTAAGGGGAAACGAGCAATAGGATGTAAATGGGTGTATACAATCAAAATGAGGCCTGATGGAAGGATTGAGAGGCGTAAAGCACGGTTAGTTGCAAAAGGTTTTACACAAATACATGGAATTGATTTCTTAGATACTTATTCACCTGTGGCAAAGATCAATTCTGTGAAAGCTTTGTTAGCTGTGGCAGCAAGTAAAGGTTGGGTACTTGAACAAATGGATGTCTCCAATGCATTTCTGCATGGAGATTTAGAAGAAGAAGTTCATATGCAATTACCTCCTGGTGATCCTAGAGCTGGCAGCAAGGATAACTTGGTGTGTAAGTTGAAAAAGTCACTTTATGGACTTAAGCAGGCAAGTAGGCAATGGTTTGCCAAACTTACCAGTTCACTTCTGCAGCATGGATTTTCACAGTCTGCTTCAGACTATTCTCTATTTACTAAATGGGTTCATGGTAGAATTGTTGTGTTGCTAGTGTATGTTGATGATATAATCCTTGGAGGTGCAGATAAGAAGGATATAGAGGAAGTGAAACTGTTTCTGAGCAGGCAGTTTAAAATCAAGGATTTGGGAAGTTTGAAGTACTTCCTTGGGTTGGAAATCACTAGGAACAGTGAAGGCATTGCAGTATGTCAAAGAAAATACTGCTTGGATCTCTTGGAAGATACTGGTTATTTGGATGCTAAAGATTGCAAATCACCACTGGACCCTAAAGTTAAGCTGAAGGCTAAGCAAGTTAAGCCTCTTGATGATCCTGAAGTCTACAGAAGATTGATTGGTAGGTTACATTACCTCACCACAACTAGACCAGACTTAACGTTTCCAATGCAGCAGTTAAGTCAGTTTCAGAAAGAACCATACACAGATCATTTACAGGCTGCTTTCAGAGTTCTTAGATACATCAAGGGATCACCTGGACAAGGTATTTTCTTCAAGGCAGAACCTACTCTAAGGTTGATTGGTTATAGTGACTCGGATTGGGCTAGCTGCCCTGATTCTAGAAGATCCATTACTGGATACTGCACATTCCTGGGAAGCTCTCTCATTACATGGAAATCAAAGAAACAAACTACTGTCTCAAGGTCCTCTTCTGAGGCTGAGTACAGGGCACTTGCACATCTTGGATGTGAGGTTCAATGGTTGAAAAATTTGCTTGCTAAATTAAGTGTAGAAGTTGTGCTACCTATCTCAGTGTTCTGTGACAATAGATCTGCTATTCACATAGCAGAGAACCCTGTGTTTCATGAAAGGACTAAACACATTGAGATTGATGTTCATGTGATAAGGGAGCGGGTTAAAGCAGGTTTGATTAAGCTGTTTTATGTTAAGACTGAAGATTAGTTAGCTGATCTCTTTACTAAGCCTTTGAGCAGGTTTCGCATCAAAGAGTTGATTGATAAGATGAGTGTTGAAAATCGATATGCTCCAGCTTGCGGGAGTCTGACAGAATCCAATCATCAAGCTGGACCTTCTGCTGCACAGCAACCAGAAGAAGAAGAATGAAGTTGCAGAGGAGATTCGAAACGTATCCAGCGCAGAAAACGCCTCTGAAGAAGTTGTAATAGGAACGCAGTCGTTTTACTTATTTGTATTTACCGCTCTTAGTTGTTAACCGTAATTAGCGGGAACCAGTTAGGTTGAGCCACGTGGCAAGCTCAGTTTAAACTAAAGAGCTAATTACTGTATAACGGTATAAATGGGAACAGCAGCTGGAAACCTTTCTCTTTGAGGGTTTCCGATCAATCTCTGTGCATTTCTAAGGTTTTCTACAAACAACCAAAGCGACGCCACCGAAAACAACCTCCCCGCGACGCCACCGCCTCACCGCGAAATCCCCTATCATCGCGACCTCGCCTGCCCAAACAACCTCGCCCCGACGCCAAATCCCAACGCTTCTCTGCCGCGACGCCACCGCAAACAACCTCGCCGCGACGCCACCGCCTCGCCGCGAAATCCCCTATCGTCGCCTGCCCAAACAACATCAGTTCTTTTGTTTCTTTTTACCGATTCTAGCTCATGTGTAATTCTTGACAGCCTATATCTATCGAGCTTCCCCTTCCCCTCCGGCAGCTATTGAAGAAGAACCCCCGCTGTCCAGCAGAACATCGAAATTGTCATAGCCAACATCGGAATTGTCACAGCCTATATCTATCGAGCTTCCCCTTCCCCTCCGGCAGCTATTGAAGAAGAACCCAGCTGTCCAGCAGAACATCGGAATTGTCATAGCCATTAGCCAACATCGGAATTGTCATAGTCGGGTATGAGGTAGTTAATTGGGTTAGTTTTTCTATTGTCCCTTTACTAATTAATTGAGAAGCCAAGTAGTATGGGTCTTGGAGGCTCAATTTTGGAGCGAAGTGATAGAAGTATAGGTGGTGAGCCGGCGAACAGAAAGTTTATTCTGAAATGCTTAGTCCAGAAAATTCAGTCATGGGGTTAGGCCATTTGGATTCATGTTGGTTGTGTAATGATACTTGAAGGAAGTGCATCTACTTTGAATCTTATGGCTGTATGTGGTAACTGTCTAGATTAATCCACGAATCTACAATATGGTCATTTGTAGGGAATGTCCTCAAATTTGGTGGTGCTCAATCAATGCATAAAAATGTTTTGTTGTATAGAGGTTTGTTTTTGGTAGTCGATGGAATTAGGGGGAGTATACCCTCCTTCGTTAGCAGATGCTTGATCTTCCATTGCCTGCTTCTCCTTCTTTCTCTTCACCCTTGCAGCCCATCTAGATTGATGTTTTACCCTCTATCTAATTTGGCGGCGGTTGTCCTGAATGGCTCTTCCTTGAGCTAATTCCATTAATCAGGGTCATCACCACTCGAAGACAATAGCAGCAGCAGTCGGAAATATACTATTCTTTGTAGTAACCTCTTTGAATTCCCTTTTGTTGTTCTCTGCGCATCTCCCGGGAGGAGATTTTGGGTAAAAACAATTTTAACTCACATGGGCACATGCGCCACTAGATGTGAGTTTACTGTGGAGGCTCATAATTATATGGGCCAAATTATTGAAGACACAAATTCCAGCAAGATCGATGTGGGCCTATATTTTTTTACGGGCTGTAATAGTATGTATTTTATTCGTTTAAAATTTTCATATTCGTATTATTGTCAAGTCGTTTCATTTTTTCGGTTCATTTGATGACTCACGTACTAAATACGTATAAAACCTGTATAACACGTTTGATATCCGTATTTAATGAATTAAATTTACTTTTATTTTTTTATTTTTTTTATTTTCAAAATAATTAATTTTATATATTTATGACTATTAACGTAATATTAAACGTAACATTAGTTTAGAGACTAAGTAATATACCCATACGTATTTTCTACATAACTTCCTACTACCGTATTTTACTAACTATACTTCCGGTAAAGGATGTAGGAATATTATTACTGTTATAATATTGTCCGGTACTTGGTCTCATGAATTTTATAAATACTGAAACTGAAGAAAAATGGACCGAATTTAGATTTGGACCGGACCAAAGTGGATCAAACGGAACGATGCACTATTGGTCCAGTCCTTGGTCCTAAGTTATAATTTACTACGTGATAGTTGTTTTCTTCTTCTCCATGGACTGGTTCTTCTAAAGTATAAACATGTACGCTGACTTCCTCGGACTATGTAATAGCTATATTTTTTAACATTAGGTTTTCAGTAGTCAACAACACGTGTAATCTTTTTTTTAAGAAATTGAGGCACATAAGTCAGAGTTGAAAGATAATTGATCAACCATTGACCAAATTCCAGATCCTAAAACAGATCCTGACTGTTACGAAGTAGTTGTAAACTTTATGTTTCATGGTTCATGTGCCATTCAATGGCCTAAAGCCCCATGTACAACTAATGGTGTATGTTTTAAACATTTTCCGAAGGAATTCTGCAGCCAAATAACTATAAATGGCAATGGTTTTGCAAGGTATCGTCGTAACGAGAACAATAGATCATGTACGATAAATGTGGTCTCACTAGATAATTGATTTGTTGTTCCTTATAACAGATGCCTATTACTACAATTTTAGGCACACATCAATGTCGAGTTTGTCTCGATATGATATCGACTCAAAGGTAAACAATCAACAACAAAAATTATCTCTATGATTCAATGCCTTGACAATTATTGATACGCCTATTTTTTAACCTAGAGTAATGAAATTTTGGTGCAAATTCCCAAAGGGCAAATCAATAACTTCCAACCACTGTTTCGGGATCAAAGAGTTTACACTATAAAGAACTTTAAGGTCGATATGACAATTGGAGATTATAGCCCAATCCCGAACAGATTTGTCATCAAGTTTTAATCCAATACCGAGGGCAAAGCAGGCGACGATATTCCAGAGATATCAGCTTACAAATTTTACTTCATCGAAGAAGATGAGATCGAGAGGAAGTCCAACCAAAGGAAATATCTTTCAGGTATTAAGCACTATTCTCTAATAAAAAGTATTATGTTGCATGGACAACCAAAAACTTACTTTTATCAATTATTTTGTTACACAGATTTCGTCGGCCAACTTATTAAGGATTCGGATTTAATGATATCTACTACATTAACCAGAAAGGCTACACACAGAGAGCTCCGACTAAAACTTTCCCAAGTATGTAACACTTTTTATTCTTAATTTTAAATATAATGAATTTTCTTAACTCTAATCGCAACTCTAATATACAATTTGACTATAGGGGATTGGTCGTCAAGGTAATTCTTTTTGGTAGGATAGTCGCCCAACTAAATTCAATCTTTCAAAATGCGGGCAACCAACCTCTCATCCTGGTCATTGCTTCTTTATGCATCGTTCCATACAATGGTAAGGCGGCATCTTAATTACCTTATTTTCATTGATCAAACATTGACACTAACTAACCGAAATTTAATCAAACGACTGCTAAATTTGTAGGTGCAATTAATTTCACCTCTTTAGGAGCGACCTTACTACTCGCGAATCCAAGAATTTCATAAGTAATTAATTTTGGGCCAAGGTGAAGTTCTTAAACATTTACACACCATATTTGCTCGCGTGTTATGAGTTTGATGTTGAGCAAACCAAAACGGGGTTAATTATCATTCCATTTGGTGACAACAGTGACGGCGATGGACATGGACGCACCTATAATGAAGGATGAGGACGAGCACGACACTGACGATGAGTAAAGATAAGGGTTATTCAGGACAATTTTCGAATTCGGTTCCCTGGTAAAGGGTTTGTCGTTGATTTTTCATAAATTAATTATGTTCATCGAGTCGCTTAGGATGTCCCAAAATACTATGATGTTCGTATTTTAATCATTCCATTTGGTGATAAAAGTGATGGCGATGGACATGGACGCACCTATAATGAAGGATGAGGATGAGCACGACACTGACGATGAGTAAAGATAAGGGTTATTCAGAACAATTTTCGAATTCGGTTCCCTGGTAAAGGGTTTGTCGTTGATTTTTCCTAAATTAATTATGTTCGTCGAGTCGCTTAGGATGTCCCAAAATACTATGATGTTCGTATTTTAAATGGGCCAGGTACTTTAATAATTTGGAATCTTTTACGCTAGCAAGAAATTTACATTTCGATAATTTCAGCGACCTAGATTTTTGTAAACTAACAAAACAGGAGAAACTCATGCTACTCCTATTTACACGATTCGTAAATGAACCCGACATTGATACCTATTTAGTATTTATGCAATTTGGAAATGAATCCGGCCAACCGGCCGGGTCCGTGACTAATACTATATAAGCGTTTACTTATACCCGTCCGTCACGTTAAGTAGGATTGTTTAAAAGATGCGAAGCAAGAAAGAATGGGGAAAAAAGCGTAAATTCTAGATATACAAAATTGTAGCATAATGATTCTCTCCTCCAACACAAAAACTTTGGTGCGTAAACCGAACTTTGATATCCGCAAACTGCTCGAACACTTGACCTTCATCGACAGAGCTTATGCACAGGTCTCTTATGGACCGGTGCTCAAACCTTGAAATCATTTTCCAGCTTCAAACATATATACATGTTCATTATCAACATCAATTAGTGTCTTTACAGATTAAGTAATCAGTGGAAACTGGAAAGTAAGTCCTTAAAAATAGAAAACTTCGAGGTCGTTTGCTTTTGGTATTTTGGTGTTGGATTTTGGCCCAAAATCCAACATATGTTGGACTTTATAATGAATCCATGTTTGTTAGCATATAATGGATTTTGTTTCAATCTGTGGGGTCCACTAATATTGGATTATTTGGAGCTAAAATCCGTGGGCCCCATGGATTATAAAATCTTACCTCTATAGCTAGGATTTTGGAAGATAGATATAATCCATGATGTTTAATGACCGTGT